GCATTGTAATTTCCCTACTTGAATAACTAAACACACTTCTAGAAAAAAATTGGGAAGTATGCAACAATTTGGAAGAGAAAGATACATGTTCCTATGTTTATCGTTCGTCTTATGTAAAATAATTAATATAAACACTTTTAATAATAAATTAATACACAAAGTATTATTACAAAATACAAGGAAACTAAACAAATTCGTGGACAAAATGTTTTTAAATATTTCATTGAAGTAAGCATATTAGAATTCAATGAAAATTGTAGGAAAAGTAGCAAACTAACTGATAACTCTCTTGCATATAAGATGTAATGTAAAAATATAACGTAATGTAGTGTAAAAATGAAAAAACGAAGAAAAGGTGAAAGATATCAAAGGCACGTCTAAAATCTTACATTCTAGCTTCGCGCGGAAAAGCTTTTTGTAAACCGTGTAAATAAATCTGTAAACCCCTTAACATATGACAACTTGTCAGACTCGCGGCAGAGATTCTGGCGAAGATGTGAGAAAAATAGTTATATTAGTAAGAAGAACTCATTGTAATCCTAATTTTCGTTTGAATTTGTAAGACTTAGGATTGCCAAATGTAGCAGATTAGTTTTTGTTACCTGATACAGTACTAAAAGAGAAAATGGCTGACGCTTAGATACATAGTCAGAAAAGAAATCATAGGTTAAGGGGTTAATAATATTTACAAAAATATCATAAAATTTGTATTACAGGAATATCGCATAGATAAGCATTAATTTATCGAAACATTTATAATTAATCGTAAAATTACATGAAGGAAGTAAGAAATAAGTTATAACTGCAAAAAACGAAAACAAATAAATTGTGTTATTAAGTATTGACTGCAGGCTTTAATGAGGATGATGTAAGAAAATTGCTGAATTATAACAGGAAGAAGAATCGAGCGAGGCCAATGAAATTATTGGAAATGTAATCAAAATGAATACGATAAAAAATAATCCAATAAAATTGTTGAAAATACAACCGAAATGAAGATGATAAAAAATAACGCGAATTTAACAGTAGGTACACATTTTTCAGCGTTCTCAAGCGTTTATAGTTTTCGCACGCCGAAATATTTTCATGGAAACTAACAATAAGCAGAAGTATTGCGAGAAGTATGTCAAGCGGGTAAAATAAATTAAGAAAGTAAAAATATTTTTCGCAATAAAACTGCTCCATTTGAACTTATTTAGATCAGTAATTTTCAAATATTATACAGTATACATTTTGTAAAATTACAACTTACACGTAGTAATTAAATTTGACAAACGTAGTACAATAAGTACAAAAAAATCAATTTTCGTCAATTGTTAGTTTCAGACTACTGGAAGTGTTAATTTGTGCAATAAAGGTTGAAAACAATTAAATTCAAATATATAAACTTATTGCAATAAAACCATCGTTAGATGATTTTATTCTTCTTTAAAACGGTTTCGCTTGTTTCTCTTTTTTCCATCTTTTTTTCTTTATCTCAGTAGTGTTTCGTGCAATCAACGATTACATGTATAATTCACGGGTCAACGAATAAATAAATGACATTTGTCCGTTAATTGACCAGCGTACGGAGATAAAAGACGACCACCAAAAGTGTTATTGTTCCGATGGATTATTGTAAAAACGACGAGCAAGTGGAAAAACACTAAAGTAAATAAAATCGAGTGGTCAGATTTCTGCAGAATTATTCTACGAACACTGGAGGCAGAAGAATCGGAAAATTTTTTTTCCTTTTTCAATATTTACATAAACAACAAATTAACACGAAAGTGTAGAATTCGTAGGAATAAACAGTGAATCGATTATTACCTTGCAATTATATTTTTTATACTGCTAGGGTAATACAATATGTACTTGGCTATTTTTTTTAATAAATAACTTAAAAGAAAAATGTAATAATTTCTGGTGTGCTTTTAATTACTAAAATAAAAACATTTCCTACAACTTGTCGAGATGGTTACTCAAATATTTATTGTGTATTTTTATGGTTACTGATTCTGATAAGAAAACATAATTGCATGTGATAAGACACAGGTAATTTGATATTGCTCTCGTGAATTATTTCATTGATGAATATAGCGTGTGTGCAAGGTCAATGTCTTGAACTTTTCAGGGGAAAATTTTGTACATCATATCAGGTTGCACTGATAAACGATGAAAATATTGTAGTTTATAATTACACGTTTACATTACGTACGTTTATCAAAGATTTTATTACTTTCAAGATTTACACGTTCTTGTTAACTAAAGTAAATTCGTTTCTTCTTATCTTTTTCCTTTTTCTGTGATACTCTTCAACAGTGTCCTAATACAAAAATACAAATTATGACGTTTCATTTTTAATAATCCATTCACTTGAAAATTTTAGAACATTTTCTTATTTCAAGTATTCAACAAATTTCAATTTATCTCCTCATGTTTCAGAAACGAATTTTCCAAATGAATTTTCCAGTCAGTGACCCAAAACACCTGAGCTGCCTGTCCACTAAATTCGAAAGAAATCAAATGATTGCGATTAGAGTCATTTGAGCTCCACTAAATATGTTCAGAAATATCTCAAGTATACATACGAAGCAATTAATTCCATAGATTTGTTAGGTATAGCAATTTCTATTGTAAATTAAATACTCAATTGTTAATTAAATATTCTTATTTTTACTTTAATACTGCTTATGTTTATTTATTCAGACTCAATAATATTTGAAAAATTTTTGTATAAAATGTTAAATAAAATTTATCGATTTATCTACTCTGATTGAAAATTAGAACAGCTTCGATGTTTTATTTTTCATCAATTTCAGCACTACGCTTGTAATGGACTAATTTTATTGTATCTATTTATGAGAGAAGAGCATGTTACAAATTTCTAAAGTAATACTAAAAAATAAATGCTCATACACGAGAAAAGATAGCAAATCTCCATTATCTGAACAGATTAAACGAAGAAAGGAAAATAAATTTGTCAAACATGCTTATTAATAACAATTACCCAACGATTAATTGTAACCTCAATTGCTGATAATTGATGTTTTCAAAAACTGTATTTTTATTTTAACTAATTTCATTATATTACAATATAATGAAGAGATATTGTTCGTGAAGTAACATTTCTTAAATTTAGAATAATCTTATTTATTATTCCTGAATTATTCCTTTTATTTCATATTTCGAACATATTGTTGTAGATCAATTTCTCGAAACATTGAAATTGGCATAATAAGACCTGACATTATTGATCAGTTTAATTCTTATAATATTCCATCAAAATCAAAATTATGTTACATATTACGAAGCAATGTAAGATGTGTAAAGACACTTCATCCACCTGTACATACAGTAAATTTGAGAAAAATTATCGTTGCAAGTAATCCAACGAGAATATATTTCACTATCAAACTTGAAATCGAACTTCTTCGTTGGAAGTCGAGAGACAACATTTCTGTATTGTCCTGTAATATGAAATGTCACGTTTACCTTCGTCAATACTAATTTAACAAGAATTGTACGAACTTTAAGTTAACACCAAAAAGAAAGACTTTTCAACATCAACTAATCATTTTAGCGATTTATTTGCGAATGATTAAAAATCCAATATTTCATGTTACACAACCTTTTCTTTTTTCGTGGAGGAAATCTTCAGAAAGACACCGCCTCCCTGGAGGAGACTAAAACCTCCAACGGCGACCCTCGTCGGGCTCTTTGAGGGAACTCCGTGGTCTCACAGGGTGAACTCTTTCCGGAAAGAACATGCTATTCGATAAACTATGGAAATTCACGATTGAAGGTGAAACACAATCAGATTATAATTCAAGAGATAAAAATTTTAAAAATTTTCTTGCAGATATGTCTTCACTTCAGACTTAAATTTAACCCTTTGCACCCCGTTGTCGCCGCCGTGGCGACATTGTAAGTGGAACTAACAGCTCCATTGTTGCTGCTGTGGCGACATTGTAAGATATGCCATGTTTTTTTTTAATGGCAAAGCTAGATTTTGAATCTTGCACTCGCACTATTGTAAATAGTCTCGGAGTAGCTGGTAGCCCATAGTAAAAATGATTCAGAGTTTCTGGTAGGTTATGTTAAAAATTGCGAGGAGTGCAAAGGGTTAACTATAAAATAATTCTTTATTATCACCTCCTCACGTCTTTACTCGGAGTGTGTAAATTTGCAGATTCATAGATTCATGTATAACGGGTGATCAAATTATTAGAGCCGCAATACGAAAAATATGTTTTTTGATTTTGTGCAGAAATAAAATCACAATATCAAGGTTTTCGCACTAGATAATTTGTTAATAACGATCGTTCACTAAAGACAGACAAAACAGTTGAACTTAGCTTATGTAGTTATGAAATATACAGTTAAGGGGTGACAATAAAGTCAGTATTTGGTAACGCTTCCTGGTCCCTCTTTTCGATACATTTTAAGTGATTTACTGTGCGTTATAAGTAATAAAAGCACTGCAACGAAAATTCAAATGCTCAAGACCTGTAAACCAACAAAACTGTAACACGTGGTTCTCAAGTGGCGATTTGCAGTACCGATACGAAATAACGTCCGTACAGATAATATTGCCTAAAGTGTGTGCCGAGTGTGTATTTGCAATTTGTAAACATCAACGCTTCGTAAAAAAAAAAAATAACAAGAATTTAGTACAGCTAGACTTTCATCTGAAAATTAATCGTTACAATGTAAAACCGTCAATTTCTCACAGGTGGCTCTATCATTCTCGGATGAGTCCGCGCGGCAGCTAGGAACCGCGCGTTCGCCACGTAAAGAAGAAAAGGTCGGGGCGACTTTCGACAGATCCGCGTGTCAATAATCAATCGTACAAATATACACAGCTATTGATGAGACACGGTATCTCGGTAAGCACGACCTGGGTCAGAGGTTCACCGTGATTACTCTATTCGGAATAAGTATAAAAGCAGGCGACGGATCGAAGCCCGGTACATAAAAAGTTGTACTGTATCGAGGGTGATTGATTGTTCTCCAAGGGGATGCTGAAGTTAGCGTTGTTACTGGCGCTCGGCGCCATTTGCGCCGTCGAGGGCGCGAAATTGACCGGAACTCGCACCGCCGACATGGACTTCCTGCACAAGCAGAAGAAGATCTACGATCTGCTTCTCTACGTTCGCCAGAACGACCTAATCGATGCTGAATGGTACGACATTGGCAGGAACTATAACATGGAGAGCAACATGGACATGTACAAAGACAAGGTGACTTAATGTTCACACATCGCCACTGATCGGTCTAGCTATTAGGTCGTTGCATATGAAATGGCGGATTCATTAATGAAACTTTAAACCTTAATAACATAGTCAAAACTGAACTTTATTTATCAAAAGAAATTCTAGCAGATTCGACACATTATTATACAAATCTGAATATTTGTTGAATATCTCTCCTGTTACAAAATTATCTAAATGCTTGAACCATCGTTGCGTTGTTCGTTCACTAGTTCTTCCTATCTCAAATGCAGTATGTATTAACATTTCATAGTGCCTCTACTGCACCATGTCCCACTTTAACACGTTGAACGCCCAGCCTGTTTTGCTTACCGTTCCGTTCGGGCCACACTTGGCCGTCAAGTGGGCCATGCGAACTATAAACAGAAGACGACCAACGAAAAGTATACTGTCAGTCATCGGTGACTGACATGGCGCTTAACGTGTTAAATTCGTAAAAAGGAAATCACCTAAATCTGATTAGAATCCATTTTCTGCTTTCAATATAACCTTAACCTAGCTTTGCCAGCGAAACAAGTGTTGCATTTAAAACAGTAGACTGTAGGTTTCACACCTAGGACACCTAGGTACTACATTTGTGCAAAAAGCATTGTGTGAAATAATATATCTTCGCCAAAATTAGTATCATATATCAGCAAACATGAACGCAGAAGAACTTCATAATGGCTGGACTAAATTTACCAATTGTTCGTTTCAGGATGTCGTGCAAAAGTTCCTTTGGTGGTACAAGCAGGGCATGTTCATGTCCCGTAGCGCCATTTTCACCCCGTACAACGACGAACTATTATACGAAATGCGGATGTTGTTCGAAGTCATGTACAACGCGAAAGACTTCCAAACCTTCTACAAAACTGCTAGTTGGGCCCGAATTTACATGAACGACGGCATGTTCACCTCAGCCTTCACGGTCGCCGTTTTCTCTAGAAACGACTGCAAAAACATAAGACTGCCGGCGATCTATGAGATCTATCCTAATCTCTTCTTCGACTCGAGAGTCATCCAAGAAGCTCAGTACCTGAAGATGTCTCGAGGTGATTATCCCCGTTGTTTATTCTGTCGTTTCATTTCGAAAGAACGTTAACCAAGGTTGTATCCAATGAAACTTCGATTAATTAATCTGTGATATCATATGTAGTATCGGGGCTTCGATACCCAAAAATAGGAAACCGACACGGGGGAATACAGAGGGAGTAGTTGGCGCAGTGCGCAAAGCCTCGGCTTGCTAAGCCGAAGGTCCCGGGTTCGATTCCCGTTGAGGTCCCTGAATATTTTTCCCTAAGTTCTTACAAATGGGGTCTCGTCCGGGATGGAGGCATCTACGGCTGCATAAGCCAGGCGCCCTGTGAGGTGAAAACATGTGAGAGGGTTGCACGTCTCCCAAAAAGAGTTGAGAAACCGAGTTTCGGCTGAGAGAGTGCCACTGTGTGGGGGAGTGTACCCCAAAGTGTTGAGTTGAGTTGTGTTGCATTGAGAGAGGACATTCGGGGGCGAATGTCGGTAGTTCGGGATGGCCGAGTGTAGTATCGGGGCCTCCATGCCCAAATCACCCAAAAATTGGAAACCGGCACGGGGGAATAGAGAGGGTGTAGTTGGCGTAGTGCGCAAAGCCTCGGCTTTCTAAGCCGAAGGTCTCGGGTTCGATTCCCGTTGGGTCCCTCAATATTTTTCCCTCGTCGGTTTCTACACATATTTATCTTATTCTTGCGGTTCAAGTACATACCTCTAACGTGTCCTTCGCAAGTTCAATTCAAAAGTTTCTTCCTATCGATGAATCGTCGAAGGCAAGTTTATTAGATGGTAGTCAGACGACGCGAGATCGAAATGACACAGGCGGTTATGTATTATTTTCTATCTCATTTTACTTAACTTGTATCGAGTCCTCAAATACCGTTCTCTTTCGAGCCAAGACTAAAATCCGTTAATCGAAACTTTTTGAACCACTTGCACACCATGCGTACAAATCGTCGGCTTGCTAGAAGACGCAGCTAACAAACGTAAATTTTTCAGGAAATAGGTTTGAAAGTTTTTACGGTAGAAAGTTATTAATTACTCAACCATTTAGCACCCAAGCAATTTTTCTTTTTTTACAATTTACCTAATGGTCTTTAGGTTTCAAGGGTCTCTAATAAAATACTGTTTATCGTCTACTGTTAGGAAAAGGGTTAAAGCAACCCTATTTTGAATTGTGACATTGCTCTTGTTGGATAGTACAATCTTAGTTTTAGATAAAGTTTTCTTTCAGACAAAAATAGCTCACTTTCAGAGTTACTTTTTGCAGATATCTCGAAATTAACGATTTGTCAGATGTGTCGCTCTTCTAGCAAACCGCCGAAATGGCCAATAGAAGAAATATATACACTACATTTTTATAATTCACATTTCGGCAATTAGAGCGACTACACACTCGAACTTTCTGTCACTTATGGAAATCTTTGAATGGAATTGCAAAGGTGCACGCGAATAGAGCTTTTAGGTCAACTTAACCTCTTCAGGGACGATTTTCTTTAAAATTAGAAAATATTGATCTAATTTTTTATGTAGTTACATTTATATTCATGTTAAATCGATAGCAATTAAACTACTTTCCTTAGGAGATTTTTAGAGATTTCGGGAGACTGTGTTTTTCATATTTTCTCTATCGCAAATATTGGAATTTTCGAAAAACTTAAACGTGCACATATGTGCCGGTGTCCCTGAAGAGGTTAATGGAACATAGTCAATCGTGCCAGAGTAAAATTACCGCTGCGCGAGATTGTTTTTCGTAATTCTAAAATACAGAATAACATTCCGCAGGCTCTGGTGGTGCCGCCGGAATGGGCAATGTTGAAACGTACATGATCTCCACGAACTACTCCGGCAGATACATGTCGTCCAACGATGCAGAGTACAAACTCGACTATTTCATGGAAGACATCGGTTTGAACACGTACTACTATTACATGCGGCAAATGTTCCCCTTCTGGTTGAGCAGCAGCAAATACAACATCCCCAAGGAGTTGCGTGGACAGCTCTACTACTTCCTCCATCAACAACTGATGGCCAGGTACTCCCTCGAACGCATGTCGAACGATCTTGACGAGATAGAGGAGTTCGACTGGAACAAGCCCATCTATCCTGGATACTACTCGACGTTGATGTATCCCAATGGCATACCTCTTCCACAGAGAAACAGACACTCGTGGATCCCGTATTACAAATACAAGTATCTCAAGGTGAGTGTTAAATGTATTCCACAATCTGTTCAAAAATTAACACGTCGACTGCCACTTTGGTCACCTGTGGTCGTCAGTGACCGGAGTGCCTCAAATGTTTAGAAAATTTTGAACATCGTAGCTAACTAGACGTTATTTTGAATTTTTAAAAAATTAAAAAGCATAATATAATATATCTTAGTTTTAGATAAAGTTTTCTTTCAGACAAAAATAGCTCACTTTCAGAGTTACTTTTTGCAGATATCTCGAAATTAACGATTTGTCAGATGTGTCGCTCTTCTAGCAAACCGCCGAAATGGCCAATAGAAGAAATATATACACTACATTTTTATAATTCACATTTCGGCAATTAGAGCGACTACACACTCGAACTTTCTGTCACTTATGGAAATCTTTGAATGGAATTGCAAAGGTGCACGCGAATAGAGCTTTTAGGTCAACTTAACCTCTTCAGGGACGATTTTCTTTAAAATTAGAAAATATTGATCTAATTTTTTATGTAGTTACATTTATATTCATGTTAAATCGATAGCAATTAAACTACTTTCCTTAGGAGATTTTTAGAGATTTCGGGAGACTGTGTTTTTCATATTTTCTCTATCGCAAATATTGGAATTTTCGAAAAACTTAAACGTGCACATATGTGCCGGTGTCCCTGAAGAGGTTAATGGAACATAGTCAATCGTGCCAGAGTAAAATTACCGCTGCGCGAGATTGTTTTTCGTAATTCTAAAATACAGAATAACATTCCGCAGGCTCTGGTGGTGCCGCCGGAATGGGCAATGTTGAAACGTACATGATCTCCACGAACTACTCCGGCAGATACATGTCGTCCAACGATGCAGAGTACAAACTCGACTATTTCATGGAAGACATCGGTTTGAACACGTACTACTATTACATGCGGCAAATGTTCCCCTTCTGGTTGAGCAGCAGCAAATACAACATCCCCAAGGAGTTGCGTGGACAGCTCTACTACTTCCTCCATCAACAACTGATGGCCAGGTACTCCCTCGAACGCATGTCGAACGATCTTGACGAGATAGAGGAGTTCGACTGGAACAAGCCCATCTATCCTGGATACTACTCGACGTTGATGTATCCCAATGGCATACCTCTTCCACAGAGAAACAGACACTCGTGGATCCCGTATTACAAATACAAGTATCTCAAGGTGAGTGTTAAATGTATTCCACAATCTGTTCAAAAATTAACACGTCGACTGCCACTTTGGTCACCTGTGGTCGTCAGTGACCGGAGTGCCTCAAATGTTTAGAAAATTTTGAACATCGTAGCTAACTAGACGTTATTTTGAATTTTTAAAAAATTAAAAAGCATAATATAATATGCAGGCAGTCAACGTGTCAACCCCTTGATTTATGATTTCTTCTGCTGGCTATACATCTCAGCTGTTTACTGTTTTATTAACTGTATTAGGTAAGAGAAGCTAATGTATGCATATCTTTATTTGTGTCCCTTTAGGATTACAGTTTTCCTTACCCTAACTTTATATTTACACTTTCTTTATTACTAACTTATGCTTACTTCTGTTGCATCCACTTTTTCATGCTTATCCATTTTTTACCATTATACTCCCTATCCTATGTCCTTCTTATTGCACCTATTGTTACCACTCGAGAGAGAGAGAGGGAGAGCCATCCCTCTTCCAGTGGCACCCTCTCCTCCTGATCCTTATATCTATTTCTTATTTCTTACTCTACTCTTATCCTATCAACTGCTCCTCCCGATTTCTGTCTCCTTCCTCCTCATTCACTCTTCATTCACTCCTCATTCCTCCTCATTCACTCCTCATTCCTCTTCCTTGCTCTCACTCATTTCCTCTCTCCAAGAAAAGCTAATGTATTACACATGAATTTAATATAGTAATTCTCAATCCTACAAATTAAAACGAAAGTTAGAATTCAAATTAATTTTGGCTACTATTTGTGTCGCATCTTCACCAGAATCCGTGTCACGAGTCTGACTCGTTGTTATAACACAAGGGGTTAAGAAAGAATTCAGTTTGAAATGTCGCTACCTAATTTGTTTGGAAAACGTAATATCAAATTTACCGACAGTATAGTAAAATATAGCAATGCACCGAATAAAAAAATTACGATAGTAATACAAAGTTTAGACTGAAAAAGTTCAACGTTAGACATAGGATCAGCGTAGTATAGGAGATCGAAAAATGTCCGAAATCAATTGCAGAAAATGCCGAAAACGTGAACATTAGCTGAGAATAAGAATTTTTCTTTAGGAAATCAACGCACTGGAGATGCGCATAATGGACGCCATCGACTCCGGCTACATGATTGACGAGCGTCGCAAGAAGATAGACATCTATACTCCGGAAGGTTTTAACATGCTTGGAAATGTGATCGAAGGTAACGGCGACTCTTGCAACAGCAGATTCTACGGTATGTACGATGCGTTGGCGCGCGACATCCTCGGCTTCAACTTCGATTATCAGAACAAGAACAATATGATCCCGAGCGCCCTTCAATGCTACTGCACCAGTATGAGGGATCCGGCGTTCTACATGCTTTACAACAGAATCATGGGTTACTTCCTCAGGTACGTTCTTTTAACACGAAAGTCCGTACAAAATAAGAATAACCTCGTTTTGCGCATGGAACGTGCCTAAGGCAGGGCTAGAACGTCCAAACCCCCCACTTAATCGCCTACGTTTTTCTCCGTCTTACCCTCTGCTACGCTCTCTGTCTATGCGCAGAACGGACGAAAATCGGTCCGAGAGCGAGGTTATTCTTATTTTGAACGAAGTGTAAAACCGATCAAAGAAGCAGTACAAACGACTAGTTTGTAATTTCTTCTAAATATCATTTAACCCTTTGCAGTCGAGTGACGACTGAGAAGCGACATCGAGCAATTGTTACTTGATAAATCATTGATTATGACAGAAAGATCTATGGATCTTCATAAATTTGTTCGCCATAGTGAAATAGAAAATACATCGAACATTGAAATAAAATAATACTTCCTCTTTCTTAAGGTCACTTTCATGATCACTCGCACATTTATGTTAAATAATGTTTCGGGGTGAGAAAGCATTCAATCAAACTTCGAGTCTAGCTCGATTTCATATAGCAAAGTGTTGAGAAAATTGAACGCTAACGGAAAATTTATTGAATTATACATACACAGATACAAGAAATTGCAACCACAGTACACTGAAAGCGAGCTGCAACTGCCCGGAGTTAAATTCGAGTCTGTGAATATCGACAAATTGTACACTTACTTCGACTCCTGCGACACCCTGATCAACAACGCCATAACTGTGGAGAACATGAAGAGTGGAATGTCTCTTCGACTAAAGGCACGTCGTACTTGTCTCAACTATCAACCGTTTAGCTACAAGATGGCCATCAACAGCGACAAGGATATGCAGGGTATGCTCAGAATCTATCTTGGACCAGCCTTCGACAACGTCAAGCAGGACATGGTCTATCTACAGAAATACTACAACTACTTCGTGGAAATGGACCGATTCGTCGTAACACGTTAGTATACCTATTTATTTTTAGCTTCAGTTGTGCATGGTGTACATTATAGGGGAAATAATTCAGATACATATTCTCGATTCTGATTTCAATTTCGAGTTGAACAAAGCTCTTCAAGCGTTTGAATTAAGCCAAAAATTGAAAAAATTCAATACAGGTGACACTAGTGATTCATTGTCCAATTTATGGACATCTTAGGTATAGAATCTTCAGGATCATTTTCTAAACACTAACATTATCTGGGGTGAGATTGTGCCACATTTTGGATATTTTTCTGTACATTTTAAAAAAGATTGTAATATTTGTTTGGTAAACTATACTCACAGCAAAATGCAACAAATTTTCATTATCTGCAACTGGTAAGCCACAGATGTGGAATATTTTTGGCACAACAAATTTGTTAACTGGTCTTTTGTAATGAAATCAGTGTGGCATGATCTGGGCCCAAAGTGAAGTTACTTCGCGCCACCCCAAAATGTGGAACAATGTCACAGTGAGCAAACAAGGACAGCTGTACAAAATGGTTAAATAGAGTTGCATGGAGACACACAAATGGGAGTTTCAAGCTATCTATATACAATAGAAATGGAGGAACATGCAAAGACACCATTCGTCACAGTCTAATCCTTGGTTGCATAAACTGACCCCTGATGATGGTACTTAATATTGCAACATGATAGAATTAACTGACAAAAATGAGGAGACCCATTACCACACGACCAATACATTTGATCCCCAGAATAGGTTGCCTTATTGACAAAACACATTCCCTCTTTCCAATTTCCTTCTTCACGCTCTTCTCTCACAGCAAAGCGTCACAGTATAGTCAGTGGAAGAAATATAGCGAGGTCATATGATTGGTCAGACGTCAAAGCATGCATGTTCGAACATATCGATGTGCAAATCGACAGAAGTCTCAGTCAGAGTCGCACGAAGTGTATAGTCAGCGGAAGCGAAATAGCGAGGTCGTTAATTGAAGTATTAAACGACGACATCGACTGATGTAGCAGCATCCAGAGTCGTTTGTCACTTGTGAATTGATATCTAAAATTTCTTTTTACAATCTTTCGTTTAAGGTATACGGTATTTAGCCTCCGTTGCTTCCTGCTCAATAGTAATTTCCGTATTGGTAAAAATTAACCTGCGACGGTGAACGATTAAGATGCAGACAAATTTTTTAAATATACTGCAATGGAAGAACCAATTCCAAGTTGACGTCGAACGATCCTCATTTGGTATTCGGATTACGTGTATTTTGACACCTGATTGATTTTACGACCTCGCTATATCGCTTCCACCGACTATACCGTAGCTTCGATTCAGTCCCAATCGACAAGCGTAAAATGAATCTTGAATGTCACTGTATCATTCAGTGTCACTACTTAATGCTTCAATTTACGACCTCGCTACATTTCTTCCACCGACTATACATCTCTTTTCCTCGAAAGGGGACGCATCTTCGTTTTTCGCATTGACAAAACTACGCCACGAGGAATGAAGTTAACAATTATCTAACAATCAACCTTTTTCACTTCTCCAGTCCGTCCTGGAAGCAACAACATCGAGCGTCACAGCTCAGAGTCTATCTTCACGATGCCAGACATGATGCCCAGCGACATGTTATACGAGAGAATGAACAAAGCGATCAGCGGAAGCGAGCCACTTATGTACCCCGAGGGAATGTTCGGTTTATCCGAACGTCTCACTCTGCCACGTGGTAAACCGGAAGGTATGAAGTTCAAGATGTTCTTCTTCCTGAGCCCACTCGAGGAGAACAACATGAAGATATACGAGCTGCCGATGCTTGGCAAGGTGATGTTCGACGATAAACCGTTTGGATTCCCCCTGGATAGACCTATGTGGGCATGGAACTACACCATTCCGAATATGTACTTCAAGGATGTGCTCATTTACAACCGCGAGAACGAGAAAGAAAGAATGAGCTACTGAACGAAAGCACCTTTGTATGGTGTTCTTCCTTTATCGACCTTTCCCATATCACAAAAGATTCTTTGAATAAAAGATTCTGAATCAAACGAACATTTCTTTTTGTTTGTGTGTTTCCCTCTACGAGGTACAAGTAACCCTCGAAGAACATTTCATGTTATTGAAAACCGCGCTATTCGGGGATTTAACACGTTCAGGATGGTAGAGAAATTCGCGAAACTCTCCTTGCCGGCGTTTGTTACAACCGGATGTTTCGATTTCATTGAAGTGTTTACTACCATCAATACTTAATCTTTCACTTTCTAATCTTGTCACATGTTAAATATACGTGTTTTTCGTAGAATATTGTAAAATAATGTGGTGACCTACCGATGGGTTACGCCGTCTATTCGATCTTTCTTGGCAAATAAGAGCATCACCTACTAGTGACATGGGTCACCGTTCTGAACTAGTTAAGATTCGTGCAATTTTGGGTATTACGTCGAAAACCAATTCATGACTCCAGATCCATATAAAATTGGGCATTTGGTTTCGAGGGATTATTTCAAACGAACTTTTCAAATACAACGTAACTTTATTGCATATTTTCCACTTTATCAAAAATATGTTAATCAAGGGGATAGCATAAATAATTCAGCTACGAAAATCTAACTTAAAAAATTTTTGCAAATATTCGGGTAAAAATGAATAAACGCAGAAATTTCTTAGCTATTGTACGTTTAATCGTAGCAATTTAATGTAACAACAAAACGACTTATTAAACATTGGATGTTTCGTATCTTGTTTCTCAGAACTTTTCATATTCTCTTCCCTCTTAAATTTGTACTTTTGATCCGTATTTGCGATAGACAAATATTTTTGAGGATATTGTGAGTGACAAACTACACTATCTTTTAACTATACCGTAAGTACTATCATAATTCTCGTTGATTTCAATTCATTGTCTCGATAAGCGAGGCTCGAGATCCTTATCTCCCTTGAATTGCTGTTTTGACACTCGGATCGCGTGTTCTTTGACGCCT